TCTGGGATGGAGGTTGGCTGCAGAAGGGAGCTTGGGGTAAGGAACTGGTGTGCAGGAGGGAGAGTGGGGCCTGGGAGGAAGTTTGGGTGAAGGAGGCACTTATGATCTAGGGTAGGGGACTGGGGTGCAGGGTTTTGGAATGTGACCTAGGGCAGGAGAGGGTCATGACCTAGGGGATAGGATTGGGGTGTTTGGTTTGTGACCTAGGGTAGGAAGGGATTGTGATCTGGGGCAGAGGACTGGGTTGCCAGATCTGGGAGGGAGTATGGGTGCAGGAAGGGAGCGGAGGGTTTGGGTATGTTGAGTGGAGGGAGAGAGGGATGGAGAAGGGAGGGAGTGGGGTGTCACAGGCAGGTTTTGTCCAGGAGACTTACAAGCCAGCAGCCCAACCAGCCTGACTGCCTGCAGAGCTAAATGCATGCAGAGCTTAAAACATTTCTCAGCCAGCCAGTGAGCCTACCTGCCTGCCTACTCCACACCTGCACAGGCTGTAGGGCCATGTGCTTGTGTAAATAAATGAGCCAGAGGGGAGGGAACTGTGGTGCTTCGTGTGTTGAATATTATTTAAACAGGTAGCTCCCACTGGACAGTTTCTGGCCAGAAATCAGCCAATGGGACTGTGTTGGGAGCAGCGCTGAAGTCTTCCTCCTTTACCCTCTGACATCACAGTTTTGAAATAAACTTGGCAGCTGCTTTTCTGAGCAGTGTGTGAGGCAAGCAGGGGAGCCTGCCTGGGGCTCCCCGCTGCATCCGCGGGCAGGATCCAGTGGTCTGCGGTCCGTATTTTGCCCAGGCCTGATCTAGCACCTAGTGAGATTTTCAAACCCATTTCCATTCAAATAATGTAGGTGCTAAAGTACTTTTGGAAATCCCACTAAATACCTAAATAGCTTAAAAATATGGTCAAGTCTTGTAGCCCAAACTGTATTTTACACATGCATACATACACAAGTGGCTAGAAATTTTAGATATAGTGCATTTCTTAACACTTTTTCAGATCACATCTCACCAAATCATTTAAAAATAATTTAACTAAAGAATTAAAATACATAGAATATACAAAGGCAACATAAAAAATGTCATTAGAAAATGAGAAATAACAAAAGTGACATTCTGAGACGCAATAGTTAATGTAATGTGAAAGAGATTTTTAACTGGGAGATCTTGGAAGATATTATTTTATCATAAACTGAAGTGTAGTCCCAATGATTAAGTAAAGGACAGAATAAATTCTTAGTGTAATTATCTACCGTAACTCCCATTCACCTCCATGAGAGTTACATGCATTTACTGAGGAAATAATGTATTCTTAGCTATATTTCTTATGAAACAGTGAACAGGTTGATTCAGTGAACAGGTTGATTCACATACTACATATCTAACAATAACTGAGCACGCTTCAAAAGCTATTAAAAATCCTACAGTACGGGCTCCCCAATGTTGGGGGGGGGGCAAGCCCCAAGCCTCAAGAGCCAGACCCAGGCAAGCTGGGGGCAGGTTCACCACTCCTGCTCTATATTAAAGTCCTTCCAAGAATCCATATTAATCTAATCCCTAAACTACCAAACAAAAAATTAATAGACAAACACCCCCACTCCTGGACAATTGTGAAAACATGGTCAGGTTGAATTTCAAGCAGCCTTTAAGAGTACATTTTATTCACTCACATAGAGCCCCTTTATATGATCAGATGGGTGTAAAGTGGCATTAGCATAAATGAAAAAGCAGGCTCTCAATTTTCCCACTATTTCACTAGCACCCATGGGAACAATTTCTAAATTCAATAGCTCCATGCTCACTCACAAACTGCCAAGCCTGCCAGACACACTAGGGGTGAGGAGGCCTGCTCATTTCTCCCCACTCCCAGCTTTCAGTCATCTGTTGAGGATTTCTAGCCTCATGTACAGGGAAGTCATTCATTGACAATCATTCCTCATTACTTTGATTTCCATATGTTAACTGTGGACAGAGAATCTATTGCTCCATCGTGGGAGAGGAGATATGATGGAGCAGCTGCCATTGGATTTACTTAGCTGACTTTAGAGAGTTCCCCTTCTCAACATTCACATTTGATTCTATGGCTGCAAAAGTGTTTGGATTCCATTTTGTAGATATGTCCCAGGACATGGGCCTAACAATTGACCTAAAAATAACGTTGAAAAAAAAATCAATAAATTGAGACTCATATTTTTATGAACATATGGATGATGAGTTCTGAGAACAATAGCCTATGAGACGCTAGGGTTTTAAACTGTGTAGTTATGGAAACCAATACTCATTTGTGAGTTTGTAACTATATAAAATCACCGATCACTGACTGGCTCTAAAGCAATACTTAACACTATATTATTTATAAAAGAATGAAAGAATCATAAAAGAATGAAAATTCATTTCAGTCCCTACTGATTATATCCTTCTTCACTGTCAAACATAGCATTTTGGAGTGTTTCTGGTATATAAGAAAATCAATATAGTGTATTCTGTTTACTTTGCTCTTTGATCCAACATAATAAAAGATGATAGCAGGATGGTGAATGTCTTGGGAAAGACAACTTGATAATTAACTGCTGTTGCAAAGCAGCAGGAGGTGCTCATCCAAGTGTTTTCTCTATTATTATTTTTAATTAAGATGTGGATCAAAAATAGTATTTTAAATGTGTACGCCATTCTGTTGTAAAAGAGGTCAGTTCTAGCGAGCTATGGTATTTTTATAACGTCCCTTATTCTTCACCATTTTTTTAAAAATGCAGTGGTCAATATAACATGTAGAAATATCTGGCATATATAGTTTAACTTCACTAACTACACACACATTAGTATAGAAGCTTCAAAACTCACGTCTACAAGATTTTAAGGCAATACTTTTATTGGGATTCTCCCCAAAATTTGGACTTTTACATGAATAATAAAAATATCTACATTAACACAAGCTAGCATACAAATGTATAAAGCAGGGGTAGGGAACCTCAAGCCCAGGGACTGGATGTGGCCCTTGTCTTGCCTGGTTCCAGCTCCTGAGGCTCATGTCCCTCCCAACATTGAGGAGCCCACATTGGCATTCCAGCCCCCCACTACTCCACTGTGCAGCTGGAGCACACAAAATCTACAAGGCTGGGCCCCCGAAGGCTCTGGTGTGTGAGGGGAATATGGGGAATGTCTTTCTCTTTCTCAGCCTGGGGCTGTCAATGAAGGTTTGTTTTCGTTTTTTTGCTTCTCACTTGTACATGGCTCCTGACTGTTTTTTGTGTGGGTCAGAGGCCCCTAGCCCAAAAAAGGTTCCTCATTCCTGGTATAAGGGATATCAACCTTCATCATGCTGCAGAACATAAGGGCAATAATTAAGTTCTAGATTCACAGATGGGATTTAGGCATTGCAGAATCTAACTCCTAGATTCCCTGTTTCCCAATACAATTCAATCTCAAGTTTGGTATCTAGACTCCACATTCATTATACGGGGAGAGTTCAGTAGGGTTGCCAGATGGTTTCAACAAAAATACCGGACACACTTGACATTACATCACAATTGACATTACATCTTATTTAGAAAATACTGGACATTTATATTTTCTCAATTTATTTCCCAAACAGAAAGCTCAAATACTGGACTGTTTGGTTCGAAACTGAACACCTGGCAACCATAAAGTTCAGAGCCTAAGATAAGGATTCTCAGAAGTTAGAAAACTGAATGAAGAGCTGCCTAAGCTAGCCAGGAGTGAAATATGGAGGAAAAGGGCAGGGATTGGGGCCCAGAGACACAGAGGGTATGTCTACGCTGCTTGAAGGAGCAAGCCTCCCAACCTAGGTTGACAGATAATTGTGTTGATTTGCATAGGTTGCTAATGAGTGCCATGTGCTGTGGTGAGGGGCTATGAGTATTTGAGGATACTGTGTGTGCTGACTCTGTTGTTGTATCTGGGTTGTGTTACTTTGTGTTGATTTATGTAGGTGGCAGTTGGGCCAAGTAAACTACCATCTGTGCAGTCTCCCTCCTATAATCAATTAAACTAATGTATACAAATTAGCTGTGGAGTAAGGATGGTGATTAAACTACCACATTAGTCAGCACATTCTTTGACTCTTGTATAGACACTAGGGATGTTAGAAATCAGTTATTTTAATAATTGTGTAACTGCTAAAATTATTAGTGGTTACATGGTTACTTGATGCTCCCCCCTCCAGTTGCAGGGCCAACAGCCAATGCACTCCCAGCACCATTCCCAGGGAGTCCCCTGCCATGCCACACTGCTGCCTCTGTAAAAACCAGCTCCCTGTGCAGACCAGCTCCCTCCTGCTGTCCTGCACTTCTGCCTCTGAGACAGAGGCAGCAGCGTGAGGTGACAGCAGCCCCTATCTGTGGAGGGCCCATGGGATGCCAGAGCAGCTTCTTTCCACAGGGGGCTTGGACAGAGGTAGCAGCGTGGGGTGGCAGGTAGGAGCCAGTTTTTAAACTGGCTCCCCACATGGACCAGCTTTCTTCTGCTGCTCTGCGCTCCTGCCTCTTTATCTAAGGCAGCAGCTTGGGGTGGCAAGTGGCTCCCCCATATGCTCTTCATTTAAAAGTAGACTGATGGGCTGTGACTGAGCCAGCCTGTTGCTCCCAGTTTTATATAAAGAGCATATGGGGGGTGGGACGGGAAGATGTTGCTGCGGTTAACCAGGACTGTTAACTAATAAGTGATTGCTCATCGGTTAAGCCATTAACATTCCCAATAGATACATGCCTTACTGTTGCTGTAATCACACAGGAGAAATGTGTTAAATCAAAATGGCTGAGAACTTAAAATCTGGATGGGAACAGATAACAAAACTCAGTTATGATTCAACCTGGTGAAATTCTGAACAGAAAGAGCCCTTAACCATGCCTGTCACAGTATTTTCATGACTTCACACTAACTGTATAATCATTTTGGTTGCAGATTGACACAGAGTAGCATTCCTGGAATTTTATTATATATTGATACTATCAATGGCAATGGAAAAATAAAGAAGCTATACTTACTTCAAATAGTTGATTTCCATGATATTTTATGAGACAATCAGAATTTGCTATATATTTTCTACACTTCCAGCAACAAAGCATGTCAGCATCTAGAGTATTCATTTTAACTTCTGGACCTTCAACTGTTTATTTGTTAGCGCTATAAAGACAAAAAAAATGTATAATTTGTTTAGGCACCTGTAATCTGTTCAAATTACAGATGGAGTTCAACCTGTAAATCTTAGTCACATGAGCAATCCCTCCTCACATTAGCAACAAATACTAATACAGGTACTACTATTACTATGATTTTATAAAGTACTTTTCATCCATTTAGTCATATAGCATCCCATATTTTCATGGTTCTTTAGAATACCAAAAGGACAAGGTCTCATCCTCAGTGATCTTACTATCTAAAACTCTAATCCTGAAAATTACTCTGTGTGAAGGGACCCATACCACGACAGACAAGGAAATCACTCTGGCCCAAGGGTCAGTCCACTTGCAAGACAGAGACTTAAATTAAGACGACACCAAAAAGAAGAAGATGACAGTGACATTTTGTCTTTGCTCAACATTGTATTCCATACTTTTCTTTGGTCTACTCTAAGTCTTTGACCTCTGAAGTCTCTTCCTTATGCAAATTTCACGTTAAGTCTTTCTGTCAGAGACCTCTTAAAACTCCCCCTTCCCATGCCCCCCAGAAATCTACCTCCTGCTCCAGTCCCCTGTTTTTTCTGATCTCCTAAGCAATTTATTTTGAAAATTAAACCTAACATTTATATTTAAAGGGTCCCCAGGATCAAGGTGTTCTGGTGGCTACCCCTACCACAAACGCTGAGGCTGTGTCTACACTGCACCCCTTTTCCGGAAAAGGGATGCAGATTAGACCAGTCGGAATTGCAAATCCACGGGGGATTTAAATATCCCCCGCGGCATTTGCATTTACATGGCTGCTGCTTTTTTCCGGCTTGGGGATAAGCCGGAGAAAAGCGCCAGTCTAGACACGATTCTCCGGAAAATAAGCCCTTTTCAGGAGGATTTCTTATTCCTTGCTTATTTTCCGGAGAATCGCGTCTAGACTGGCGCTTTTCTCCGGCTTATCCCCAAGCCAGAAAAAAGCGGCAGCCTTGTAAATGCAAATGCCGCGGGGGATATTTAAATCCCCCGTGGATTTGCAATTCCGACTGGTCTAATCTGCATCCATTTTCCGAAAAAGGGGTGCAGTGTAGACACAGCCTGAAAGAACACATTCAAATTAAAAACAGCATTTAAAATAAATGGCAAAAGACCAAAAAAGGATTCTGTGTGTGCCTGCAATATCAAAGTGCAATTGAGTCAATAATTTCACACTTATTTTGACTAACTTTGTATTATTAATGAAAACTGAAAGGTATCTAAGAAATTGTTTGTACAGTTCATTGCTTTTCTTTGCATTTCTTTCTAACAAGCAATAGCTTAGGTGACATGTCACCAATCCGCTTAGTTTCTGAAGAAAGATCATGTGATTAAAGGAAGAATGATGAAATGTCAAAAACTGAATACATTTTTCAGCAAAAAGAACTTGAACTTCATTTTGCTTTTTCCTCTACAATAAACTAGGATTCTACTATCTTACTAAAGCTTTAATTGTAACAATTTTCTGTTTACTAAAATGGTAACTCTGATTATAAATCTATTAAAACCAGACTTTTTGTTCACATATTGAAATAAGACAGGTTGCTGCAGTGCCTCTCTTATTTTTCTGCAGCTTTCAATACACAGGTAAAGTGTGAATTTATGTTAAAACTCCATTATTCTTTTATTTCTAGACAAATAAATATAATAGTATTAGTAATGACTAGGAGCTTCAGATCGAAATTGGTTGAATGAAAGATCATGGTAGGTGCATTTATGCAAAAACAAAACATTCACATTCGAGACTTTATCTTGCACGTGACAAGAATATGAAAAATACAAATGCTTTGAACCACACAAGACATTCCTGTATCTTGAGTTTTTCTTACACATTTACTGTCAACAGTTATTTTAATAGCCCTTCAGTATATGACATATTTGAAACCAGCAGTCAAAGGGTATAAAAATGTTAAAGGTCTCTCTCAAAAAAGTATTCAGTTCAAACTCCAGTTTTGAAATATTATGAATAACATCATTCGGGGACTACTACTGCAGATATAATTTTGATCATACCTTATATATATTGTGAAAATGGAATTACAAATTATGCATTTATAAACATTAAGAACAAGTTTTGATCAATTTGACTGATGGCAGGTCTTTCTTGTCCATTTATAATATACAATAATAATCATATATTTAATCCAGCAATACACCAGTGTTGATCTTAAGAGGTCAACCAATCTATATGGACTACAAGGACTGTTTCTTTGTATACAGTTTTGAGTTTCTTTGACTAGCTCTGTGATGGATAGGAGGAGCATTGGCCTTTTCTGAACATCCCAGCATTAACTGAAGGGTTAAACTCAGGTAGATAGGGGATGTTGGCAGGGAATCAGGAGAGCCAATGGGCGAAAGTATTGAGATTTGAATTGAAAGATATACCTGCCTGCTGTTTTTCTTTGTGTAAGTTTTAAGCCAGGAGTTGGAGGGGAAAAGATTAATTGGACCAGGCAGGACTACCATGTAAAGAATACTGGGCATGGAAATGGACTGGACCTTGAATGTCCATTTAGATGCGATCAGGTTATTTTTTTTTTAATTTTGTTGTTTGGTTAAATTTCTCTGTGTTAAGTCCATGTGCCTTCCCCTACCATACACTGTACTTTAAGCTATATCCCATGGATGGAATTTCTCTGTGTTTTTAAATTGTTCTTTTCACAGTTGCTTTAAAGCCACCAAGTAGGATTTATTAAGTGTATCTTTTTGATTTGTTTAATAAAATCACCTTTGTTTAAGGCGATGATTTGATTCTTGTGTCCTGGATGGCAATAGGAGATCTAAGACTGAGAGGTAAGCTATCAGAGATTGCAGTTTGTTTTATCTTTTTTCCAAGCTCTCTTGTGGTAAAGGAGCTCAGGGGTACCCATCTGGGAGAAGTTCAAGGGCTTTCTTCCACAGTTCAGGAACAAAGGGTTTTTGTTTTGTTTTTTTGTTTCACCAGGTGGGAGCAGCTACCTCCCAAGACCAGGGAATCTGTGACCATGGGGAGCTTTTAAAAATACTTTGCCTATATAGGCATCTGCTTTAAGGTCTCTTGTGGGCCCCCACCTCTGCACTTGGAGTGCCAGAGCGGGGAACAGCTTTAAAAAGCTCACATTTGTATTTCAGAAGCTTCCAAATGCTCTAGTTCTTGACATTTATCTGTGTTCAAACAAGGCCTGTTTATTTATGTATTGCATTGTTTCATTTACTTTCTCATACCATTAAAAGAATCCATGTTATAACAACATCTGGAAGGTGCTCAATCATTTATTTCATTAAATACATGAACACTGGTTTTTTGTTGTTTCACAAAATGAGTACTTTCAAAACAGATTTTCTCTCATCTACCCCACCATGTCCATATGCAAAAAATTTTTAAATTAAACTTATGTATTTGTAGTAACTATTTTCTTTCTACTTTTTGGGCTGACAATAAGCTATGTAAAAACATAGTTTTAAAAAAAGGAAAATAAATAATTTGGAGGAACAAATTACAGCAATTTGCAGTATTTTCTGCCATAGCAGTTGTTTTTAAATGAGAAAATTCCTGAAGGTCTATTCTGTGCTTTGCTTCAGTTCTCACTTTGGCGGAAACAGTCAACCTATTGCCCAATTTGTTACAAATAAAGATTTATGTAACAAAATGTTTTTTTAAAGTAAATGCCTGCATATAATCTCCCATAATAAACTTTGTTTCTTTAGAGCTAGAGTTGGAGCAACTGTATTGGGTTTGTATGTTGCAGAAGCAGAATACAAATTCTTACTAAAGTAGATGCTTCGAGGAAAAATAGATACACTCAACAATAGATTACTTTGCTCTTTTGTGGTGAGTTTTTACTAAAATAGTGTTTGGGGGACTGTTTCTTTGTCACATACTTCCACAGCAGTACTACAATAGTTGACTGAAACAGTGATGTACTACAATAGCTGACTAAAATGAATAATAGGACAGATAAATTCACATTTAAATCATTGTCTCACACATGTTCAGAAACCTTTAGCTGAAGAGCACTGTGAACTTAAAGGCTAATCAAGACCAGAATATGAGTGGAACCTAAACTTCAAGGCATTCTTATATGCCAAGAGGTTAGTAGTGAGGTACCCAAGAATCAAGTGTTATCACTATTATTGTTCAATATAAGTAACTAAAAATCTAGAAAGTGAGTGAATAGTGAGGAGACATTTGCTAATAACATTCTTTTGATTAGTCAAGACTTGGAATGACCATAAGGACTTCAGAAGGCCCAGAGAAGACAAGGTTACTGGACAAGACAATGGAAGATAAAATTCAACATAGAAAGGGCAAAATAATTCTAATTGGAAAGCATTATTTTAACAAATACTACACACCATTCTGAATTAGTTAAATTTCTCAGAAACAAAACATAAGTATAGTGAACATTTCAGTGAAGATATCTTTGAAAATATAATGCTGTAACATAGGTAGAACAGAGAAATTCACTGACAGTGAAAATTAAATGTACAGCCCTTCACCAAGATTTTCAAAAGCGTACAAGTGTTTGGGCAGGGCACCTTCAAGTTTGGAATGGACCTAACTTTCAGAAGGTTAGGCGCTCAACTCAGAAAGTGATTTATGTTGAGTACCCAACAATAGAAACACTCAACTAGACACCTGAAACATTGTATATTGTATGTTTTCAAAGGTAACTTTCCAAATGTGACTCTCTGCAATAACATCTTCCTAAGTTTGCAGAATGTCCCAGCACCTCTGCAACTGTTGCCAAGCAGTGACAAAATAAAATCATATCACTTTCACAGATGCTGTTCAGAATCTTGTCAGCAGGGGAAAAAAAACCAAGATAAGAATCATATCGGGTTTTTTGACCCTTTAAGGGAAAATAGCAATGAGCAGCAACATGGAACGGCACTGGAACTATTCATAGTTGAGGAACACCCAAATCAGGTGAAGGATGGGAGACAAGACACATGCATGTACACTGAGCAGCATCCAGAAAGTTAGGGGAGTGTGAACAACCATCAGTTGGTTCTAGGATGGGGAAGAAACTGAACCCTCCCTTTCCCTTCTAGCAAACACTGGCTATAGAGGTATGGATATTTTTTTAAAATCCTGTGTTATACACATATAAAATACTAATTTAAAATATTGTATTTAGTTTTGCTCATTTCATCTCAAAAGAGACATAATTAGAAAAGATCAAGAAAA